AGCTCAAACCTTTGTAGGGGTAAGAGGTGGGACCATCAACATCATAAGATGTCTTGCAAAACTGCTAACTCATCTTGAAGAAAATAATGTGAAGTTGAATATAACTAAGCTGAAGTTATGCTTGACTTCGGTTGTCGATGCAGGATTCGATGAGTTGGCCACCCTGTCAACCGACGTTTCCAAAATTTCAAAATTTGAGGTTATTCAAGTGAACACGATCGAAATGAACGAATCAAGGTTAGCGAGAGCCGTCGGACCGTTAATGGACGAGGAGTCCACTTGCGTAAGTTGTCAACGACCGGATCGCGCGGAAAACATGGTCCAGTGTGACCAATGCGACAGGTGGCACCATTACATTTGCGCCGGAGTGAATGATAGTGTCGCGGACCAGGTGTGGGTATGTCGCAACTGCACTACCCAGCAGAAGGATGACATCGCCTCCCTTCGAAGCGGATCTAGTCGCTCCAGCACAATTGTGGTGGCGTTTCATCCAGTGATGCGCCTTCCAACTCCACCTACCCCCGGGGCTCACCTAGCTTCGTCTGTTCGGCGATCAACACCACTGTTGGGTACGCCCAGAACTACTGTACCACCGATGGGTTCGACTCGTCTTGCAGTGCTGGAGCCATCCGCTTCAAGGTCACAACAGGAAAAGGAGCATCCACAAACTGCCCTTTTGGAACTCAGAAACCGTGTCGAGCAGTGCAAAAAGCGCGCCAAACCAATACCTGAGCAACTGTCAGCGTTACGTGTACAGATGGAGGTGTGCAGAACTCTTCTGGAAGAGTTCCAGTCCGGCGAAGAAGTAAGCGGACAAGCTCAACGGTCGGATGCAAGCGATCCGGTAGGACGAAGACTACCAAAGCAAGCGACGACAACAAACGAGCCGCGAATGGAGAAGCAAACCGGCGCCATTCCCAAGGCGAGTCAGACGTTGGAATCGGTACCAGAAGCAAATACTAGTCTGCAGCACCCTCTCTGGCAATTGAGGGATCCAGTAAGCTAACCCAGTTTGCCTTCGGTAAGTCAACCAATCGCTGAAATGCGTCCGAACCACGTCGAACCCCCAGGTAAGCGTCAAGACTTGAATCATATGAACGTCTGCCCTTCCTACCTTTCCCCCACCTGCGCGGACATCGGTAAAGTTTTATGGGCCACCCGAGGATTGCAGCCCGACAAAGGCAAGGCAAGGAAAATGTTCTAGCCGACGCCATTTCCCGGGCTCCATTGGATAAAGGACAACCTGAGGATCGATTCAGCAAGCGGAACATCTATCTCGTGTTCAGACAGTTGGAGGAAATAAACCCAAGCAACATCCTCAATATCACCGATGAGCGTTTGACGGAAGTTATGCTGGAGACGGAAAAGTGTCAATAGATAAGGTGCCGGGTGGGGTGAAAATTTCCTACAAACATCGAAATGAGCTCAGCTTCCAGGATGGGCTAGAAATCAGGAATGACCGTATTGTCATTCCATACCTGTTACGAAGTAAAATGACCGACAAAGTGTTCTGGCCTGGCATGAGCACCCAGATCAAAGAAGCTGTCACTAATTGTGGAATTTGCGCAAAATACTGTTCACCACAACCAGCTCCACCTATGCAACATGCAATTCCTGTATACCCATTCCAACTCGTGTCGGTGGATGTGCTCTTTGTGGAATATCAATTAGAAAAGAACCACTACTCTGATTTTTTTAGGTTGACATGCTGAAGCATCTGACTCCAAAAAGCACCATTTCAATCTGCAGGAACAATTCCTCTCGTCACGGCAAACCCCAGTTTGTACGGACAACGGAACCAATTTTACGAACAAGGAATGGAGAAAGTTCGCGGAAGAATGGGAGTTTCAGCATTCCACATCGCCTTCTCACCACCAGCAGGCCAACGGGCCCAGCTGCTCGTTTATTTTCATGGAGTACGCAATGTAGGCTTCCAACGTCTGTGGAAAATTTGATACCGAAACCTGTCCAAGGTGTACCGAAAAGTATCGAGAAAAACCGACGAAAGGCAAAGTATCACTATGAAAAAAAGACAAGAAACCTACCAATGCTTGAAACAGGATCACCGTAGTATCCAAATTCAACAAAACAGGGGACTCCTGGTACGGTTGCTAATAAGATGAATGAGTGTTCTTATATGGTGAACGTAGATAGATTGCTTTATCGACGTGATTTGGTGAACTTGAAGCCGCGTAAAGAAACCTGTTGCGCCTGTTATTCCCCCTTCGCCTGCACTAAGTGAATCAGGCAACCATGAAGATGTCCCAGCGATAAGTGTAACGGAGAACCCTTCGTTGTTGGTACCTGACAAAAGTGTTACGATTCAATCTGCATCAAAGTCAGACGAATCCTCGGTCGGAATGGATATCATGATACAATACGGATTACAACACCTAGACGAGAATGTCAAACATCAGGATGGATAGAGAAAAATCAAAGACCGAATTTCAGACAATGACCTTCATTACTTCGGAAGGGAAGTAAAGCCGTTGGTCCCCGGTTCATGAGTTGATGGGTCGATAGGTAGGGTACAGGTGCCTCCCAGGCGTCGGTAGCATTCGTGATCAGCACGGAAAACAAGATCGTCGGAAAACAAATCAAGTAAAAAAAATATGACCTTCATTAACTTTTAATTATAAAACAGGGATGATGTTGTAATATTATTAAGTATTTTATGAGTGCTACTTGGTTCGTAGTTTGTGAGCGCACCCAAAATTCCTTTCCCTCTCTCGGTCATAGCTCAGTGTAGTGTGAGACTTTGTATCGTACGGATTCAACTAATAAAGCTCTAGTGAATAAGCTAAACCGGTTTTTATGTTCGTACTAAAACAGAAACACTTCTTTTAGCCTTCGTTCAGACTGAATCCATTGATCGTAATTATTTAAGTTTATTTTTGGCTCTGCGACGATGAAACAGTTTTAGATTTATATTATAATAATTAACTTTTTTTTCAGCCTTCGTCCAGGCAGCTCCAAAAATATTGTAATGCATGATTACACTGAAAGATGAAACTTGATCATACCATCGAACTAAATTCCCCCCCCGTGATCTTTGTGGAGATGCAGAGGTATACTCGGTCTCCATTCCAGCAAAGATCACGCTCTAACATTCCCTTCCCATTCCCACCTGATTGCAAGGACGTGGCCCCACTTCCAACTGATTACAAGAACGCATCCGGCGCCGCTATTGATCCTTATAAGGGGCCATTCAAACTTGTACATTCACAATGAACGGTCACTCCCAGTCCTATTGAGTTGATTCCTTGTGTAATTTCTGATTCCGATCAAATCACGGAGTAGCATGTGCAGATAGTCTATGATGAACACAACTCAATTATGGGAGTAAATTTACATCGGTTCCATCTTATGCCCGTAGATCTGTTGCCATTTCTCCATTCAAGAAAATTGAAAGTACATACTTTTTATCTGATTCATCCTTCCATAACGCACTAATTAGTGCTTCTGTGTGCCATGGTCCATTGACTGCATGAATTTCAATTTTATTTGATATCATTTTTAGAATGCATTTTCTAAAGGAGGATTATATCGCATTGATACCGAAGACAATTCCAATGAGTTTTGATTCCCCTTAATTAATGTAAGTAATCCAACTGGAAAGCTCGTCTCCTTGAGCAAATAAGAATGAGATCAGTAGGACCCCATTCTTCACTTACAGTAAAAGCAAATTATCTCTGCAATTGAAAACCCATCGAGATAAAGCTTGGTATTTCAATCAACTCGACAATCTGCATGGCTCTAAATAGTACCATCACTGCTCCTGGAGCACAACCACTGGATTACGTTTTACTAACCAAGAATTACTACCCCTGCAACCACCACAGCCATATTCACCCGGAATATTAAATTAGAATCAACAGCATCGGAGCCAGAAGCATCAAACGATGAAAGCTGATTGCCGCAAATTGAAGCGCTGCTGCAAGCTCCGTCCTCCTCATCGTCGTCGACAGCCAATTATTTATCTTGGTCGTATCGTGTGCGTCTTTCAATCGATAAGCTCCCTCTCTTGTAATATTACAGCAATGAAGCATGAATGCGTTTGTACAGCCCGTGTACAGACAACAAGAGGTGATTATCGGTAAATAATAGATGCTGCGTCTAGGCGAGCTTGCAGAGTTAGCAGGGCACGTGCAATCAAAGATCAATAAATCCGCTTCCCCCCGGTTGTCAGTATCCATCCATAGCAGCAATTCCCCAGAAGCCAATCCTCTAGGAAATGAATTCCTCAACCGGAGTCGGTTATCCCCGAATAATAGCCATATTAAAGAATGGCAAACATTCTTGCTGATGTAGCTCCGTACTCGATAGGGTTGCTACTACTTGGAAGGGAACTGGAAGTTTCAAAAATCCACAGCAGTCAACCCTAAGCAAGAAAATAATAAAGCAATTGCGTTCTGTTCGTCTCCCGAGTTCATGAAATGAATATGTTCGTATGGCACTAGCAGCAACAGCAGCAGCCACAGTACCGAGTTGATGGAGTCATGCAGAGCTTTTATTAGTGTCTGAAAATGGCAAAACACTTTGCAATTGGAGCAACCGACAAAGGACCGGATAGTTGATCCCGGAATGAGACAATTTCGGGGTTACCCCTGCTGACCCTCCCACCGAGAAAATCTCCGTTCTTGGGACACAGGAAACCACCAGTTACTGTCCGGCCGGGTACTGAGGCTGAGCCCCAATCCGCATCGGAGAGCTTGTGCTGCGGTTCGTCCGAGGAGGGATCATGTTCCATTTACTGTCGTACTTTATGACGCATGATGACCCAGTGGGATATTCTCGCACACAATTGCACAATCGCTTGTGGTGCGGCAGCTTCATTACCGAAGACAACGACGTCCGGTACTAAAAATGAAGCTAGCTGTTTATGACGAGTGGGGAAGCGCAATAACTAGTAAAACGGAATTAAGGCAAATTTTCGGTCTGCAGGCCGGGCACTAACTAAGGCTGACGAACTGCTAGACCAAGACTGGACTGCTACTTACCGCATTCGCTTCCGCACCTCCTGCGGTTCGGGTGGCTTCGGTCGCTTGAGCCTGCATATCGCTACGAAGCCGGCGACGATGACCGAGGTGATGACGACTCCGGCGGCGGCGGCCACCGCCGCAAACATCACCATCTGCGAGTGTTGCTTCTGCTTGTCCGCGTTGGAGGTTTCGGCCGGCGTCGGATCCTCCGAGATGATGGTTTCGTCCACTGGAATGAGATTTGAAATTATGCATCACTTTGTGCAATTTACGTTGGATTGGGATCTTCAAGTATGGAATATACATCGATTCTTATACATCATTTCAAGGAACTCTGAGGGATTTATCGCAACGGTGAATTGCTAGATAGATAGTTCTTGTTTCACAATTTTAAGCAAAGTATATATTTAGTTGTATCATTTTTGTTTTTGATTGATATTTTTTTTTTAATTACTAAGAATTGTGTTTTGTATATTTTGTAGCAGTAGCATGGTCAAGTTTATGTAAATATAAGGTTAGAATCGCCAAGTATTATTTTGAATTTATAATTTGTTTTGTCATCTATTTTGACATTTCAATTATAATTATCGTTCACGTTATTACATTTATTCATTTTGTGGAATAATTACACGTTCACTTAAGTTAAACTGAAATCAATATTACAAATGAAACGTATTGAAAATCCGCATAAAAACGAAAAGCTTGTCTTCGAAAATTCATTTTTACCGCCACTGGAAACGTTCATTGGTTTGTTAGACTCGTTGTAAAGTCCAAGGTTCGAATCCAAACCATTCTCATTCGTAAAAAAAAATCAATCGAACCAGAAATAGATTGAAGCGAGACAGATTAATCAAACAGTATGAGCGAGAAAGAGATAGAGTTTCCATCGGCTCAAGATCGTAGTTGATGAGATTTGTCGTTAGAAAAGGTCGTCAATTACTTCGGTAATTGACGTACTTTCGGCCGCGAAGACTATGATCACGATTTGATCTGAGGGTTTTTGGAACGTCCACTCGTCCATTTTGACCTGGACCGGACCTGGACCTGGAGGAGGCGAGAGTGCGTGAATCAGTTCTTGTGTCGCGGTGTGTTTAAATTGGTAGTTATTAAAATGTGAGAAGTCTTGTGATTGAATTTAATGTTACTTTTCGTTTGCTTCGCATAGCCTGAAAGTTCAGCAGTTAGGTAAAAGTTTACGTGCGGTCAAATTTGTGTGTGTGCGTTCGTAGAGAGAAAAGGTAATTCGTGGATAATTGTTTTGTATGGAGATCAGTGCTGATAAAAATCATTCCTTCTATACTCAACATAGCTGAAAATGCAGACAACCTTAACAGATAGACCAACCACCTGCATGAACCTGAATTTTGACATAACAACATTCTCTTGATCAAGGCAACCTCTGAGTATCGTAGTCAACATTTGTTTTCTTCATTCGTGGCTGGATTTTCATTATCGCCTCCGTTGTTGTCAAAATTTATATTCGTTTTCATCTTGGTGGGGATGATTTTGAGGATCAAATGCAAAATGATTATTTTCATTTTACTCAAATATAGCGCTGAGGGACGTGTCGTGTTAGTTCTTACACACAAACCGATGGCAAATTATTGTCTCAAGCTGAACTGATGATAGAATCCCGGGTTTAGGCTCTGCAGTCGACAATATTCAAAATAAACATTTTGCCCAAAATGAATTTGATTATTTTGCTTTTGAGGATCATTTCTGATTTTGACAATTTTGGGTTGGATAATCAAGCACTGGAGAATATCAACAAACGCGTACTCGTTGATGTATAATGAGCTCATTTGTTCATTTCGCTCGTACGTAACAGCGAAGGTTTTCAAAACAAACACAATTCATCTACATTTGGGTGAAGCGATACTCCTTGCGTGTGATGGTAAATGATAAAAACAAACACTGATGGGGATTGTTTGTTTACGCGTCGAAACGCTGAACGAATTTTTATTTAGGATTCGCATCTAGCGATACACGGCCGGAGCTCGGCACACCGCATCTTTAGTAAGACGCTACTCTCGACCCCACGCTTCTGCGTCAAGAGTCCCGGTTTGAGGGGAAAGCCGGAAGAGAACAAGCCGTTCTGACAGAGCGGCCATTTTGCCATTCACGCCACACGTGTAAAAACACTGACGTTCTCCAACGTCGTCTACAGCGCCGATCCATTTCGACGCGAGTTCAGTAGGGTTAACTACCCCATTTCCGGCCTATTAAGCACAACCCGCACTCAGTATTTCTTAATCTAGCGCAGTTTAACACCAAACGGAATGTTATTATCACTGATGGCTTCCAAATTTATTTACCTTTCCGTACGTACCGTGAGATTTGATAAAGAGAAACCAATCGTTGAGATATTGTCAAAAGTCTAACACTGGTTCTTGACGCCAAACTCGGCCTACGGATTCTAAACTCGGCCTAACGCATTGAAACGCCATTGAAACGCCAATGAATTCACTTCGGCCTATCGGATGAAGATAAAAATTGATTCGGTCGGAGTGATTCCTTTGTTTTTGGGAATAATGGGTGCAAACTTTCATACCACGCGTTCTCATTGACTTTGTTCGGTAGCCTTTTAACTAAAGTATCGTACAAAACGCATAATTGACTTGTTAACTCTGAAATCATGGATTTATTTGAAGTCTTCTGCTCTATAGGCCCAAAATGGGCGATTAGGCCGAAGTAGTTCTCTACCCTACCAGTTTCGAGACCAACCATCGACTGGAAATCTCCGCAGCATCATCGTCGATCGCCGCATTTCGGGCGATAGCAACAATACCGCAAATCAAACATCTATGTGGACGGAGCATAATTTCTTAATGTTTGCATCAGCTTTCTTAGATTGGCAGATAATCGAACCAAAGAACTAACAACTTTCGTGGATGACCGGAGTGCGAAATACGCGTATCTGTCAAAAGATAAGCAATTATAACGGAATTTAAAGGAAATAAACCAACCCACTCAAAGCTCTTCGTTTTAAAGTAGTTTACCCCAATGAATGTTAAAGTTTTTTTTCGTTAAATGTTATTTTTTTTCCATGTAAATTAATTTTTGGTTTCGAGAGTTTTCACATTTTGCGTCGTTCTACATTTTTGTTGTTGTGTTCTTTTACGCTAGGTTGGACTGCCTGGGAAATCAGTCTCGCCACTCATGTATCTCGATCGGCGGGGATTTTTGGATAAGTGAGTTCCTCCGGTGATGATACTGGTGAGTGGCGAGTAGGCAGAACGACCGGTAGCATCAACCATTCTCTTGTCGCGTTTGAGGCGACCTCTACTTGTGAAGAATCTCGATCCATCATACCATTTGAGTCTTCTGTTTCGTTCTGATTGAAACAAACCCACCCTGAGGTTGAATTTCTCCCCAGAGGTGGCGCTTAAGACGTTCGTTTATCGAGCCAGGGAACGTTACAGGAGACGGAAAATCGTTAGCCGCATTCTGCGAGCTACAATTTTTCCCAAAAAAACATTATTATTTTTATTTAACTTTGTATCAGACATCATTTCGATCAAAAGTGCCGTTCCCGTGCAAACATTTTTTGAAAAATATCTAAGACACCATTTTGAAAGATATAAATGCAGTGTAAACAATACACTCTAAACTACTTCTAACCATATTTTCAAGAGAAAATAACCAATCATTAATTTTCTACAGCGTTTTTTTCCGTGATGCAATTTTATGTGGGACACCCTTTCATGTTCCAGAACTTCTGTAAATTTGAGGGAACTTCAAAGAACTGCAACGAAGTTATGAATTTTCTGGAAATCTTCTAGAATACCGGAGTCCAGAGAACTACTGGAACTTCAAAGAAGTTCAGCACATTTTCGGGGTGATCCAAACACTTCAGGCAAACTCCGAGACCTTCAAGAACGTTCTTTGAGCTTCAGCAACAGTGGGAACATTTTAAAAATAGATGCGTAAGCTTCAGGGCAGATTCTAGAGTTGGGGGAAGCTTCAGAAAAGATGCAGTTTCATTAGTTTCAAGAAAATATTAGGGAGTTTTGAGACAGAGTTGGGAAAAACTGGTTGTGTACCGGTGCGGTTCACCAAAACACAACACGTGTTCTCGACTGCTACACACCGTGTTTGGTTTAGATGCTGGTTGTGTTTCCATCGAAGCTTGTAAACCAACGCGTGTTTCGTTTACACGGCACCCCGGTTTATGTTTGGTTTTCGTTCGGTGTGTAAAAAATGAAAAACACAAAACCGAACCAAGGTTGTGTAGAGGTTGTGTTTTCGGGTTGATATTTTACGGACGTGCAAGTGGTGCCAGATTTTGTTTTACAATTTTGTATAATTATTTTGAAATTATCTCAAAATATCTTACCCATACCAACAATTTATGACCACCACCATTTCAAAATCCAAGATGGCGACTTTCGGTTAGAGAAAAACTGGGAAATACTGTCAAATACCCCACAATATGGGTATTTTTAGAATAGGGGCGCCATTTTGAAAATGTTCTTTAAAGCTTACATTTTATTTTATTTATACGCCGCACAGTGGTTTAAAAGTGAACTTCATGTATCCTGATGTTTGTGTACATTTTAGCCATTTGACGTGTTCGACTAATTTTCATAATGGTCGGTTCTGCAACTTTTGGAATATTAACCTTCAGAAACCTAACTCAACAAATAGATAGTAGATGTACGTGAAAAAGTTATGGAAAATATTATTTCAAGCAACTTTACTCAAGACATCAAGGTGCCATGACTTCAATTTGCCAAGATATAGGATATTCTTTGACAGTTGTACCTTAAAATCAGTTTTTTTAAGATCTCTTAGGTATATTCTGCAAAGGTTAAGAAAATAGTATAATAAGCAACTTTGCTCGAAACACTAAAGTGTTATGTTAACATTTGTGAGAGCTATAGCAATTTTTAAGCCAAAAATTTCCCTTTTTCAATGCGCTATAACTAAGCAAGCTGCAAACCGCTGCACTTGAAACAACTTTCATTTGAAAGTTTAAAACCAGATCTTTATTTTTGTGCAAATCATCCCACTGCGACCTAGCAAGAAGTACAGTCGACTTGTTTCGCGCTCCGGTATTTCGGAAGTTTTCTCGGTATTCGGTTGGTTTAAATTATCAGTTTTTTCTCGCTTAGTGATTACTGGCATAGTACCCGGCTAAACAATTATCTGAAAGTGAGTTTTTCTGAGAAGAAAGTGGTTTTCGGCGCCATCGGAAAGAAAATTGTTCACTTGCAATTGCATATTCGC